CAGAAAGCAGTTATTTATTAAGTGATCGCAATCGTCAGCCTGTGGCCGGCCTGTCCCTCGCCGTCAGCCCGACGCTGTTGTAGGTGACAGCCGGAGCAGCCAGGCGGCTGGCACCCCGTGCCAAGGGCCTCGCTGAAGCTCCAACAGTTCTGAAAGCTTTGCAGTAAAATAAAGAGACCCGGCTCCTGCTGGGAACTCATTCCCGCTCCGTAACGAGAAGTGCAGGTGAATGCTACCCCAATTATTTCCATATATATTTCAGTTCCTCAGGGAGCTGTGTCATCTCTTGCATTGGGAGCTTCAATTCATCCGAGTAAAGGTAATTTCTGTTAAATCTACAGCCTCAGGGGCTCAGGACTGGGATGGTCCTTTATGCTGTAGCCCATTATCCCACCTCTCTCACAACATGATGCTGTGAGATTAAGCTACCTGGAGATCAGGTACAAGTTTAAATGTCTTTTATTGTTCCTCTTCACAGATTCAGGGGGAAAAAAAACCAAAAAACCAAAGCCAAACCACAAAAGCAATAAGGTGAATGGTGTGTGCTTACTTTCCCTCTGTTTCTGCTCTTCTGCAGTGGGACGCGTTCTCCATCCCCGAGCTGCAGAACTTCTTGATGATACTGGACAAAGAAGAAAAGGACAAAATCCAGCAAGTGCAAAGGAAGTACGAGAAGTTTAAGCAGAGACTGCAACAGACCTTGAAAGAAGCCAGAGGCAAGCCTGGATAATTCTTCAGGAGGCGCTGGGCATCAGACTAAGCTAGATATTATTTTTAAAATTAAAAGACACTTCTCAGGACACCTTATAGTGGTCACCCTCCCCCTTCATCCTTCCATTAAGGACTGGCTCACAGCACCCATAAAACGAACGTATAGCGTTTTCTTCTTCTGCAACCTCTTATCCCAGGACCAGAGCCGGTCAAAAACGGGAAGCCTGTTCTAGAACGGTCAACAGGCCAGACACAGCTGCTGGTTCGCTTTTCAGCTACACCATCGGATGGAGAAGCTTCGTGGAAAATGCTCCGTGTTTAAACCCAACAGGACCGTCTACTGGCTGATGTTTTGAGCAGGGTAACGCTTGCTGTTCGCGCTCCTCCCACCAACTCGCTCGTTCTTGTTCGGAGGCGCTGCGGCTCGCGGCCCGGGCCCACGTGGCCGAGGTCTCATTTCGTAAGTAGGGCGCAGGAAGCAGCAGACAGAGCGAGGCGGGGGTTGCACCGAGCCACGGGGGTGTTGCAGCTGCAGCCAGAGTCGGACGGACTCGGTTGGGGCTAAGGCAGCCAGGGAAATGTCAGGTTGTGACACCAAGGCAGCTGCAACACCCAAGCAGCCTGTTAATAAGTATTACTGAAACTTAGTAATCTCAATTCCAGGAAAAGTCACCCGTTTTAATTCTAATTAACTTCCAATTTTGAAAACAGGTGTGAACTAAAGCAAATACCCTTGATGCTTAGCTAAGCTAGCCAGTGTTTTACCAGTTTTCTACTCTGTAGGAACTGGGACCTACGTTTGAACAAATTCTGTTTGAAAAGTGTAAAGATGATGGTTGGGGCATGGGCCGATGGTTCGATATTAACGTTTAGCAATACATATCCAAGAGGCTAAAAAGCTCAAACCCCCCCTTTCGCAAATCAAACTGATTTTGAGCTATGAACAGCTCTGGCACCGAGGGAGAGGAGCTCCGAGCAGAGCCGGGGTGTGGATGTGGCACCCAGAGCACAGGCTGCCCGCGTGGGAAAGCCCCAGCACCGGGACCAGCAAGGGAACCGTTGGCCTCGGCTGCTCCCTGCCTGTCGTGTGCTCCTTGCCCCCCCCTCCCCACTCGCAATCGGTGCTCTGCCTGCATGGCCAGGAAGGTTTTGCTCTCTCCGTGGAGCTAGGAGCGGAGAGGAAGGCTCTCCCTCCCCCTCTCTCAGGGCTCCCACTGTCTCTGCTGCATGCACTCTGCCTCCTCCAAAAAAAAAAAAAAAAAAAAAAAAATCCTTGAGCTGGAGCATCAGTTACTGCCATAACTCTAACCAGCCACCCCGACCTCGCCGACGCCGGGCAGCGAGTGCCGAGGGGGGGAGGAAGGCTGCGGGGATGCCAGGCTGAGAGCGGACGGTCCCCGTGTTTACTCTCGGCACGCAGCCAGGTTCAGTCTTCCCTCTGTTCGCACAGGACGGCGCAACAAGCATGGAGTGTGCCGGCACGGTAACACCAGCCAGATTCAGCTGGAGCACGTGAAAGAGGGGGTCGTGTTTTGACTTGATGACCCAGCACCCCTTTGAGCTCGGTGTGGGCTGCTGTGACCCCACCTGCACGAAGTGGGAAGGGAGGCGACAGGTTATCGGGCAACAGAGACAACGTGGAAGCGTCTAAAATTTACCTCAGTGCCTTTTTTCCCCTTAAGTGTGAAAACTTTGTATTTGGGCTAAGGAGGAAGTTGGAAGGGGCTTTTGCCAAGAGGCCTTGTCAGTCCTGTCCCCCATTTACCTACAGTACTGTTGTGACGAGGCTGCTTTTGTCCGGAGAGGGATGAGGAACTGGGTTTGTTTCTTTCTTGAAGGCGACTGCTTGCAGGTTTTTGGGTTGGTTTTGGTTTGGTTCCCCCCCTTCCC